AAATTAGAAGATAATGCAAAAAATAGCAAGTACACAATACAAAAATAAAATTTAAATCGACTAAGTTAGTAACCATTCGTGTAATAAAATATATGTAGTATGTACAAAACGAAAAATCCTAACCAGTCCCAACCATTACAAGCTTGCAAATTGAACATTTCATATGTAAATACAAATTTGAATCTAAACTTTAAGACGTAACTGCCTAAACCCTAAACTCAGATAACAGTAAGACGTAAGTGCCTTTTTGAAATTATTACTTCATATATGAACAAAGTTATAGTCTCTCCCTCTGCATGTTGAATTTAGGTATTTCACACACACTCATTCCTATAATACCCCCAAACAAAAATAAATAAATAAGACACTTTCATAAAGAGGAATCAAATTAAAACAGAAATGCCAGGACTAAAAATGGTTCCGGGGCTATACAAAGAAGAAACAATGATGAAATATTTGGTCTTTTGAGTTTACTGATATTTTTCATGCAAATCTTTCTTCTACTACTTACTCCTCCACAAGTCAAAATTCCCAAAAATGTTAGTCCTTAACACCATTGGCTTTATTCATGGGTTTTATTTTGTACTTGGCCTTTTGTAAACATGTTTCAGCTGATCTCAATCACCTTCTTTGAAGATGCTCTTTTACCATGAATATTTTGTTCATTTTTGCATCCCTTTGTAGTGCTGATAGCTCCCACATGTTTGTCACATGTATGAGCATTTTTCAAGTCCTTATCAGAGGGCTACTTACTAAGTATATTTTTAGAAATCTACATACAAATTTTGCAGGCGACATTAGAGATATGTGACGAGGGCATCAGCAATCATGGTGGTACTACCTCATCATGCACTCTTACATTTTCTTGTTGCAGTTGGTCTTTGCGACTCAGCTTTCTTTATTTGTGACTCTCTTTATCTGTTCAGGGATTTAATTTAGAAGGGATCCTGCATTACTTCTTCAATGGTTTCCCCATTTCTATATTTTTAAAAATTTATTTCCTTACATTTAAGCATGCATGTAGAGACATCCCTATCAAAGTCTAGCATAAGGTAGAAGTCAAGTCAATTTAGAAACAACTAAACAAACAAATCTTTTCAAGTGAAAATTACCTTAAAGTAATGTATTGCACCACTCACAACCCCACCATGAGAAGGATCACGAAAGTGACCAATGTTCACTATCCATACAAGTGCACAAATTCCAGCAATAACCTAATTACAAAAAGAATCACAAATTAAAAACAATAACAAAAAGAAGATTAAAAATCATTTAGATGGTAGAATATCAACAAACAAAAGTGAGCTGAGGAGTGGACTTTAGAAAATTATTCCTGATTTTTCAATGATTTAATCTGCAGATGATGAACCAATCACCTAAATTAAAAATAAAAAGCCTGGCTTTTGGGAGAAGCCTAATGTGGATCAGGGTAAATATTATGAGAGACAAGAGCAATATCTTACTCTTATGAATTAAAGCCAAACCTAGACCCAGCTTCAACTAAAAACATTTATTTTTTTAATTTTTACCGTTCTCACCCCAAGAAGTCAATCCCGCATATCCACATTTAATTCTCCGAATGAAAAATCCAGATATCCAAAATTCCAAATCACTAAATAATGAAATTAATAAATCCTAAGAACTCAACTAAGGATAAAGAAGAAGATCAAGGACCTAATATGAATTTTGCATCACCTTTGCCAAAAAAGTACCAAATTCATCTAGCTTCTTTTTCAATGGTGTCGCCTCCTGCAATTGAAATTAGATTTGAAATAATTAAATTAAAACAGTAAACATCGTGCACGAACATATTTATGAGCTTAGTTGCAGGGTGGAGAAAAATAGAGAGGTACAATGTCATTTCAAATGCAAGTAGTGTAAAATTACATCACAAGAGGCAAGAGAAGTCAAAAGTATATATAGCTGCACGGTTCCACATAGCTAAATTTCTGTCCATCAGAGATCAAATTAACAAGAAAGAGAAATAATTGAAAGATGTATGCTGACATCAGAAAGACAAAAAGTGCCTTGGATGGTAGCTAGAAAAATTCATAGTGAATCTACAGTGACGAGTCAAAAAACACAACCAGATCCAAATAAATTTGAACAGTTTTTGAGGTAAAGAAGTTCGCGTAAGAAGGTGATAGAAAAAGGAAAGAGGAGGAGTATGTTATAGCCCGTTGAGTGTTGAATACCAATCAGCCTAAAGGAGTTTTAAGTTGATGTTCGAAAAGAAATGTGTAGGAGAGACCTTGCAGGAGGGGATTATTATAAATGTCAGGGAAATTACAGATTTAATCCTCCATCGTGTGTTGAATGGAAGACCAAGAGGCAAGTCAAATATGAGCAGTTGCATAGAATAACGAATACTCCCTTTTCTATTCACTTTTGCATCGAGTTGCTTGATACATAGATGAAAAGACCCAAATTAGGCAGAAAGGTTTGAAGATTTAGAAAGAATAGGGTGCATTTCTCACACCTTCAACTTCAAATAGCATAATTCTATTTTAAGAAAGGGATAAACATTAACTTATCTTTTCAAGATTAGAAACATTTTTGGAATGATTTCAAGACTGAACATTAATTTGAATACCAATTCAATGGTAGGGCTTGATAGCTCCAACAGATTAGCATCCTCGTTTTCTCGTTCCATGAATGAGGAGCCTTTAGATTGCATCAGGTAGAATGTAGTTTATTCAATTGAAGGCAAAAACTACCTCACAAACATATCAGACACTTAACTGTGACTATAGGGTCTGAGAATGTGGATAAGAACTCCAATAGTATCTATTATTGACAATTAATAGCCAGCTAAAACTAACAACCGAAGGCTCTGACTGCTTTATCAATTAGCCAGCTATAGTAAACTACCAACTACATTGTAGTACATTGGTCATACCAAGAAATACTACAGAAATTAGATATATTTGTCTTCTTTAGAGGCTTGAGTAACAGGAGATAGAAGAGGTTAGTGTGGGTGACAGAAGAAACATTAGCACTCTATTCTACCTAAGGAGGGTTTAGTAACTACGGTGATCAAATGCCCACATAACATCTTTTTCTATTTAAGGGAGGAGGTAACCATTTAATGAAGCAATAGTGGCTAAATCCGAGCAAATAGGAGGTGAATTATTGGTAAATTATTGTGAAGACTTCCTTCACCTGGATTTCCAATGGCATGCAATCAACAAACGAACGAAGCAAATACAAAATTGATGATATCAAATTGATTCTGTTTGAAGACTACGTCCTTCGATATTTCTTAATGAGCTTCTTTATCTATAAGCATTTCTAAAAGAAAAAGAATAAATTGTTTCAAGGGTGGTGACTGGTGAGGAGGAATAATCATGCCCATACAACTTTACCTCTTGGACACCTTACTCCTTGCTTAAAACTAAAACTAGGAATGAAGGGAAAAAAATTATGGGTGGTTAGGAGAATGCTCACGTTCGTAACCTACATGCTTTGTTTCCACTCATGAGATGTCCATTCTGATCGAAGAAAGGCAACAATTATATCAAATGCTACTTTTAACTTCATTGTCCTTTCGATGGATTAGACACTTGGAACCCTCATGTTTTGTAACTTTTCCTCCGGTAACAAGAACAAACCTTATTTAAAGGAATCAATAAATGGAAAGAAGGAACTAAAGAGAAAAAATGGCACTTACATCATCTGTTTGCAAAATAGAATCTCGTATATTTCCCATGGCAGTATTTGCACCAACTCCTACCACAATAGCCCGAGCCCTGCCAGCAACCACCACTGTGCCCTGATAGTGATAAAAGGACAGAGAACTTATAAATCCTAGTAAAGGATAAAAATGCTGATATCAACAAACATATACAAGAACAGAGCTCCACACAAAAAATGACATGTTGAGAAAATTTAATGAAATGCTCAATAAAATTTAATAATATTTCTTTCTTTTTTTTTTAACAAGAAACAGAGATTTTCATTGATAAATTAAAAAAAAAAACATACAATGTTCAAAGATTAAAATTTAATAATATTTCAAAATAGTCGACTCGGAAAGAACATATAAAACAATTTTCAAATTATTTATTGTATTGAAGTTTTTCTCTTCTGGTTAAAATAAATCTAAATAACTGCCCATTATAATCAATTTGAAGATTAATATTTTTATTTTTTGTATCTTTTTATTTTATTTTTTTTCACTCCCTTGGGAGTTTGTATCTTTGAACATTTTATGTTCCTTTTCATCTATCAATGAAAAGTTCGTTTCTTGTTCAAAAAAAAATAATCAATTTGAAGATTAATATTATAATACTATCAAAGAAATGTCAAGAGGATAAAAAAAAATTCACATATTAATAAAGAAATGAGCAAGCAGTGGAACATTTCGAAGTTTAGTGCCATATTCAGTATTTTTCAATCATCAGTCTTGTCTTGGTAAGGGTAGGAAGACATCTAAATTGGTATTTGCCTATTTGGTAACTAACCTCTTTCCCCGAATTTCCCTCAATTTTTTACATTGATAAACTGAAAATTCTCTCCATTTTTTATGCTTGGGAAAAAGAAACTAACTCTTGAAAGTTTTAAAAAGTAGAAACTTACTAAATGGGAAACGGAGGCAAGAGCTCTTTTAGAGAAGATTGATGGATTAGCTCTTGATAGGAGGGAAGACATAGAGCCAGGAAGCCCGATCCTTCGGGTTCTTTCTCAGTCAAGTCTTTGGTTAGGGAACTTAAACTTCTCTGATACCAAAAAACCTTAGGAATGCCTTTTGCAAAATGAAAAGCCTGGAGAAGGTGAATGTTTTCATGTGGGTTCTACATTTGGGTGGTAATTTCACGATAAACTACAAAATATTTTCCCCAATTTTTATCTAAGCCCTAGCTGTTGTGTTTTATGTAGTGAAGGCAAGGGAGGACAAGTCACATCTATCCTTCCATTATTCATACAGCAGGAAATGTTGGAAGGCCTTCTTCTCTGTGTTGGTTGCTCATGGGTCTTCGGCAAATATTCTAAAGGCTTGTATACAACTGCTTTTTGGTCATAGACTTGAAGTTAGAGCTAACACTTTGTGGATCAATGCTATGAAAGAACATCACTAGGGAACTCAGCTAACAGATGACCCAAAGGATTTTTTGAAGGAAAGTACATTTTGATTGGGAGGAAAGGGTGAATCTTGCTCAATATCAGGCTTCTTCTTGGCATGCTTTATCTAGGACTTTTAGCAATTATACTCCAACCAATGTAATTAATACTAGTTGGAATGTTTTTTTAAAGCTCCTCGAGGGAGTATTGTTTAGATTTTTTGTTGTAAATTTTTAATATATCAATAAGAAGTGTTTTTTGTTTCAAAAATAGAAAATAAAAAACTTTATACCAGAAAGAAATAAAACATGTCTCATCTCCAATGATTCTACCTATTTCAGATTTATACAATCAAGTTCTTACAGAGAAAAGAATATTTGTCTTGTCTTGATATACAGCATTTATTGCTCTTGTGGACTCGAGCTCTTTTTCAACAGAGCAGCTCTCACCTATCATTATAAGTCACATACGACATATCATGGATTATGTTTCTCTAATTTTAAGAAAATAGGGACCAATCAGAAATGGAGAGACAATGAAAAAATAAACAAACAAAACGGCTGCAAAGAGAATGTATTGGTGCAAAGTAAAACATAGATTTCACCTCTATAAACGGCCATTAAGCAAGATAATTTAAAATATGAATTTTAATCACAATACAACTCTGGTTCTAAGTTCACATCATTTACGAAACATAATAAATATGCACTAGTATAGGAAACCACGAAATTTCATATCATATATGAAGGACAGATACAAAGGGAAAATATTACTGGAAACATAGTTCTAGTTGGCCGGATCATCAAGGCAATTTAGCAACAGCATATACAGCCACACCTTCAAAGAAGACTAACAATTCCAAATCTAATCATAACTCAGAAATATGACAAGTTAACATGAAGCCTTGAACTGATCAACTGGAAAATAATCATTGTAAAAGTGAAACAAATAATTCTCTCTAGTGCATCAAAAGAATCCGAATAATTGAGTCATTCTCCCTAGGAAGAGAGACATAAGCCACAAGGTGACATGAAACATAAGCCTCGGGCCAAATACATAATTTAGTCCTTAATATTTAAAGTTTTAATTTATGTATTGAAATTTTTTTTAATTAAGTCCTTCCAGTTACTCAATATTAAAAACTGACTATATAAGAATTTAAATTTGTAATTGATGTGAGGATGTCAATTGTGATAGGAATCACCCTTAGGGTAATAAAGGGATATTATTAGAGTATCGAGGATACCTTAGTAATTAGATAGGAAAGTTGTTAGGGAGTGTTGTTATAAATAGAATGGAGGTGCAAGGATGAAGGTATCCAATGGAGTGAGTATGGTTTAGGCTTGAGTAAGAATACTCAAGAGAGGAGGGGAGGGTCCAAGTACCTCAAATTACTTGGTAGTTCTAGTATTTCTTGTTTGGGTTCTAACAAATTGTTATTATACTAACAGTTTAATGGTCCATTTTCTATAATAACAAGAAATTTCAGGTTAAATTAACTGGTGATTTGGGACTAGAGACATGATATTTCGTACATAAAAAATACCTGTGAGAATTGCTTGATCAACGCGTATCTGATTACTTAGCATCTCAATCATTCTCATATCAGCTGGAATTTTGCAACCCACTATTCCACCATAAGAATAAAGATAAATTCCTTCAACACCGACATTCAGCATATTTCTTCATGGCAAATAATTCTTTTTTTTTAACATTTCATAGCAAATAATTCTTTTGCACTCAAAATTTCCAAACTTACCAACAACTTCTACTATGTCGCCAGGAACAAGCTCAGTAGCCGGAAGTATTGAAAAGCAACCTGCAAAAGATACTTTGTGAGGAATGACTGTTCAGAAAGAATGATATATAACATGATTGAAACAGGACAGACCTCTAGCATTTATTTTCTCCCCCTTTTGATAGAACTAACATTCAGTAACATTATGAAAGGTGTAAAAATAAAGTATGCAAACATTCAAACAATAAGTCTACTACCTTAAAGCATTCAAAAAAACTTGAAAGAAAATAGATATCAAAAATCAAATCTCCCAACAAATAAACTGATTACCCCCATGCATTCATAAAAGATAGAGCAACTGGAAAAGAGTAGGATCTAGTAAATAATTAATTCATACAAGAAAAACATTAAATAATAAATGGTTCTCATGAAACTATGAAAGATGAAAGAATACAAAAGGGACGAGAAAATGAGACATCCTCCATAATCCAAAGGCAGTTTTTCAAATTCTTGTAATTTCTTGCTTACCAAATGCTATTGAAATGCTAAATCCTCCATCGTCTAATCCTTGTAATTCCTCCATCAACTAGCTATTGAAATGCTATTCATGCTTTTTAAGAGAGAAAATCACCTTTTAATCTTTAATTAGGCCAAACACATCAAGTTAAAATTAGAGAAAAAAAATTTCCACAACAAACTAAAGTTAAAATTAGGGAAAATTGCAACATAATTTTATAAATAACTTGACTCCAAAAGTAAGTTAAGCTAATTGGTACAATTGTTTTAGTGGGAAAAGAATATCATTGATAAATGAAATATACAAAAACAATGAGAAGTTTTGTTTCCTTTTCAAACAAAGCAAAACAAACAAAAAACAAAGAGAGAGAGAGAGAGAGAGAGAGAGAAGAAGGAGGAGGTTACAAAAATAACTCTACAATTGGCTGTTATTAGAACAATTTCCTTCTTTACATTAAACAAACATTAGGACTCAAAAGCATGAGGAAACTGGAAAGAAACAATATACCATTTCTCATCACGGTAGCAACATCTGCCTGGTATGCCCGTAGTTCCTGCAGAAATGGTACAATATGATAAAAAGCCCAATGAGCTTAGGTCACATTCAGGGGACATCCCCATTACTTGCTAATAAGCTCAGAAAGCTAGGAATCTGCATGCACAAACAGTGGTAAAGATAAAAGTGTAAACACATAAGGCTAAATTGGGGAGATGTCCATCAAATATCCTAAAAGCTACATTGATAGAAGAAGAAGAGAGCAATATTATCTGATTATACCTTCACCCAACACTAGCACTAAGAGTGCAGTTGCACTCTCTAAACTACCCGTTTAAAGCCTTGCAAATAAATCACCCTTATACAGGCTCAAGCCTCTTCCATGATTCAAACACAAAACCCAATAGCAGTTTCAAACAATATCCTCTAAATCATTGCCCTCTCTTCCAAAAATCCCCTTCCACGGAACACCCCCTCAAATATGAAAATTACAACTCTAATCTAATACTAATCAATTGCAGATGAACATAACAAATTCTGCAAAAGCCACGAAAGCCCAGTCTTCTTTTAAGGCCAAGATTAATAAAACACTAGTTAAACATTTACCTTAGACCAAGCCTAATAAAACAGACTCCAAACCTGGCCCTCTATCAAAACTCAAAAAGCCAATGAACTTATCCCTATTTTCAACCAATACTACACAATCTAAAAAGTCGTTTGTATTCACCTGTTACCGTTCCATAGAAAAATGTTCCCCATTGGTTCTCCCATTGAATAAAATAGAGAAGTTAGTGAGTCTTAGAGAATTCCTAACCCAAAGTCCCTATTGATGACAAACCCTAGTCCTTAATGGTCTCATCACCACAAGGAACTCATTGAAGATTTCTTTTCCTGCCACAAAGGTGTCTTAATTAGAGAAATGGTGAAGCACAACATCCGTAGGAGAGTCTCATCAACAATCTTACACAAGTTGCTCACCAACTAATGGGTCTAATAATTTTTATTCTACAGCATCTAATTCATCCTTTGAATGCAATCTCTGTTAGAATGGTCTCATCTTTTGCACATAGCATAAAACACCAGAGTCCAGCCTTTTCGTAATGTTTTCAAGTAGGTTTTCAAATATTATGCTCTTTGTTTTATCTCCTTAAGGCCCAAATGCTCTTAAAAGACAATATCCCATTTTACATCTCCAAGCTTCGACAATGATCTTTAAGAATACTGTCGCAGGAACATTGATACCGACCACCACATAGTTAGAAAGACTTAGAATAGTACATAAGAGATCTCAAAGTAGGTCAAAAAAGTTCTCCACTTTCTCTAACCTTTGACCAAAAGAAAAATATCATCCACAAATCCGACCGGTCCCTAACTCTATAATCCACCAATCTTCCCATCCATGTAAACCTTCCTAGGCCTATCCCTCTTTCTCAACTTTGAAGGTAGATTAGAGGAATGTTATCTTTGCTCAACCTAGAAACCTTCAATAAGCCCATCTGTAGAGTCAAATAATCCACTAAGGGTATCTGCCACAAGGACAAAAAGAAAAGGGAACATAGTGTCCCCTCATTAAAAGGGATTATAAGAACTACGCTATCAAGTTATCCTCATCATGAAGCTGAAATAGAAAACTACACTATTAAATTGATCAAGTTGTCCTTATCATGAAGCCAAAAATAGAAATAGATCTCATGATTTGGACTTCAAACTCAAGATGACATTCAAATGTTTTAGAACTAACCTCAAGAGCCTTTTCAGCATTTGTTTCCGTAATCACTCCTACTGCTGCATTTGCAGCCAATATTAGTAATATTACCTGGACAGAAAGGAAAAATAAATAAACAAATGCTCCATTCCTTTACTTGACACATAGATCAGTATATTTCTTTTCTAAATTGAAAATAAAATATTGATAAGCAAGAAATTACATAGTAATACCAACATCCAAAACACTAAGTAATACAAACAAAAGATGACTCCCCAATATATCTTACAAAATTCCCCCCTCCCAATTTGTGTTAATTACAAAGGGAGCATAATCTATAATTTCTCTATCAATGGAAACCTAAGAAGAAGCCTTGATTTCTTCCTATTCAATCAAAACAGTAGCTTTTTCATTGAACATTCTGTTGTGTCTTTCAACCAAATGCCCCAGCACGATATCTCTGAGTTCCACTTAAAAGGATGGCTGCAAAAAAATGGCACCAGGTTTCCATCTAAAGATGAGTGATGAACTCAAGGTAAATAAAATAATTTGTAGTAGACAGTCCCATATCTTGCTAAAGGAACAAAGGAAAGTGAGGTCCATTCCTTCCAGCTCTCTCAAGCAAGGAGAACACCAAGATGGATATAAAGCCATGGTGGGGCATATAGAAAATAATCTATCAACTGTGTTAGGGCCACGAAGACAGGCCATCCATGAAAATACTTTAACCTCTTTAAGGTACTTGCCTTTCAAAATTTCCAAGGGAAGATCTGTTGTTAAGCACATGGAGTGCTGATCCAAAATTAAAAAACAATCATCACTTTTTGTTCCGCCACAATAGAAAGACATAAAATATTACCATCAAAGGTTAAGAGACCAACCAAACATCCTCCCAAAATTTCATCATCTTAACATCTCCTAATTTGATTTGTGAGTGAATCAACACACGCCTCTCTGTACAATATTCCTCCAAGGATTACAGTTGCTTTCCCCTTTATTACCATAAGTATACCTCTCATCTTCCTTTCTTCCATAAATTCTAGAGACCATTCTACATCAAATTTGATTTTATTCACTGAAGAACACACCTATTTTTCCATATGCTTTATTATTGTTCTTCTTCAAGTTGCCAATTTCCAATCTACCACAATCGATAGGCAAGCCTCCAAGACTCCACCCTTTAGTTGACTAGATGGGTTAAGCTTATTACCATCACGTTAAAAAAATCCTCAACTTTCTCGCCGAACTTACCATTACTTCAGCTTCCAAAAGGTGGGCAAGCTATGCACCCATTAGCTTCCTCTAAACTACATGGATGGAAAGAACAATAGACTCTTAAATGAAAAAGAAAGGGACTACGTTGATCTTTTTAACCTCATTAGATACCCTGCTGCTTCGGTTCAAGCTAAACAATGTTTTTTTTGTAATTATTCTTTTAGTGATATATGTGCTAATTGGAGGGCATTTTGCCGTTAATCAATTGGAAGGATTCCCTTCATATTTTACACCTTATTACTT